TTTTTTTTTTTATTAAAGGATAATGTTGCTTCCGATGGTCTTTTTCCATAAATATTCCAAAAAAACTTATTTTTCAATAATTCTCGCACACAAGATATGTATGTATATTTGTATCTCTGTCCTAAGGGACACAGAACCCATGATATGTCTTGGAGCGTGAACGACACGCTGAATTTTCATTGGATTAGAACAAGAAATGTAGGAATCTAGAAAATCAAGATCTGAGAGATTGTTGGAGGAAACCTGAAAGATATTTATTGCCCATGGAGCGTGAAAAACACGCTCTTAAAAGTAGATTGAGGGAATAAATATTTGGTGAGAATGGGTGGCTGAGGGGTGAGAGGAATCGGATTAGGCCTTCGTTTGGTCTTCGTTATTTTAAAAAAAATATTTTTCTTATTTTTAAATCAAATATTTTTCAATAAGATAATATTGAATAAAAATTTAATTTTTTTAAATTTTTTAACCGCACATTCTCTATCAAAATACTATTCTAAAATATATTTTGGTAAAAAAAAAAAGAGACAACGTACTCTAGGATTAGGAAAATAATAACTTTTTGACGAATTAAAAGTAAAAAGCTATTTTTTATATTAAGAAACTATTTTGAACATTTGTGAAAAAAAAAAATTAAGAATATTTTGTCTGATTAAAAGAACTTTAAGAAAAAACTAACATAACTTAATTTTTCATTAAACTCCTCTACAAAATATAGAAGTAAAAGTCAGGTAAAAATTAAATTGCAGTTTTTTAAATTTAATCGCAACTTTCAATAACCATTGGCGACGTACCAATCTAAAAAAGATTGTTTACCTTGAGTGGCTTCGAAAAATCTTAGTCTCTGTTTGTCTTTCATTCCTTCAAGATTCTTTTTTTATATGCTTATTTTCAACCACACATTTATACAATAAAATATTCTACACGTAAATTTAAATTTTTTTTTTCTCTTTTTAATAACTCATTCTTCAAAAATACATAATTTAAAACTTTTTTTTTTTCTAAAAAAGCAAACGGCCATCAAACATGGGCTTAATTTGCTGGACCTTGTAGATAGGGCCGAACATATAGCAGGCCCAATAAATAAATTTTTAAAAATGATTTTGATGCCCATTAATTTAAATTTAATTAAAAATCGTACTATAGAGGAAAATTACTAGATAATTATGCTTACTAATTACAATTGTGTTATAATAGACAACTAAGTCATAAATATATACAAGAATAATTTAAGCTTTACACAAATAGATAATAATGGCCTTTTTATACATAAAAGATAATTATTTCCATCAATTACAATAATTATAATTATCCTATGAATTAATCCCAAATTATTAATAAAATTGTGGAACTAAAATAACTTAATTAATACATTTATAGATGGTTTTTTCGGTCAATTATCACAACTACTATTTGAATATGAGAATGCAAGGGTAATTATATTACCATCACAAAATTGATTATGTTCGTATTTGAGATATGATGAAGAACAAGTGAAACATAGTACTAGATTAGTAAGGAAGTCATTTTTCGTTTTTATCAATTTTTCTGTTGAAGAACAAGTGAAACTTAAGGAAGTAATGCACAACAAATTTTTTTTTTTTTTGGCCATTGATTGAGATTCAACAATATAACTCAAAACCACCAAAGAAATGTTGGATTTGCTATTATGGGTTCAAAATCCAGAGGTCCAGCCATATTGGCTTTCTCCATTACTTTTGTGTGATAGAAATTAACAATTATGATAATGGTTACTTTGTTTCAGTTCCAAAGAAAGTTGGTTTTGTTTGTCAAGTCCCAATCTGAGTCTCATCTAATCACTACCATAGAAGAACAAGACTATTGTGCACTTGCTAAAGGACCATTAGCACAAGATCATATGATGATAATACCTGTTGAACATTCATCAAACACACTTTGTCTACCATCAGACTGTGAGCTGGAATTATCTCATCTTGGTAAAGTCCTTTAATCATCAAAAGAATAATTCCATGGTACATGGAATTATTGACAGAAATGATGCAGGTGCTACGTTGACAGCATCCAAACAGTGCATTTTCTGTGTTTGGTTGGTTAAAACCCAATGAAAAACTGTCAAGTATTCTTTTGTCAATTTTTTTTTGTATTCGTAACAAAATTGTCATCAAAATTGATTATGTCCACGTGATTGATGCACAACACATTTTTTTGTTTCGCCATTGATTGAGATACAACAATATAATTATGACCATAATCTGCTTCCATAGGATCAACATTAGAATTTCAACAACACCATTGAAGGAAATTGGATTGCATAGGATTAATTAGAGTAAAGAAAGTTCAACACCAGAATTTCAAAAAATCTCTAAAAAACATTTCCACTGACACTAACATAATTTCTGTTATTGCTGGAATTAGGGTTCTAAAGATGGTAATTTGAATTTGCATATTTTATGATTGTGGTGGAAGAATAAATTGTTTTATGTGATAAATATATCAAAACTCCATTTATGTAATTTTACGCAAGGCTATTTAAGTAAATAAAAAAATTATTAAAACTGTCGTGTAACTAACAAAATTTGTAGGGGTAATATAATCAGCCCTCATTTTATTACTTGATACATGGATCGTCCAAAATAAAATAACTTAATGCATACATAAGTGGATGATTTGTTCCATCAATGTCAGTTACAATTTGAGAAATTAAACCCCTAATTCTTAAGGATGAACCGCATTCCAGACAGCCCTCACCTGCCCTGTCCTGCCCTGTCCTGAGCCTTGGTGAAGGAGGTAAATCGTAAGTTATGCCTCTAAAGGTATAGGGTGGAAGGCTGCTTGTATATTTACACTTACCCAAGGGTCAAATCCATATTTCAGGATTCGAACCCTTAATGCGGCAGCTAAACCCCTAATTCTTACTAGATACGTGGATTGTCACAATCAGAATAATGTAATTAACATTGTAATAAAGTGGTATTTATGAATGATCAATGTAATCATACGGTCCTAATTGTAACATATAAATGATTTTCAATAAAAATATACGCACAAGTCTACTAACTATTTTTTCTCTCTAATTTATAACGCATTATCAATATGAAATTCTAGACAAATGAATTGAAAAAACATATTCATCTTTCTGCTCACGAATTTCTAACCAAGTTGATTTAGGGAAACAATTTCTCTCTCATTAAAAGAAAGACACAAAATTTTAACCAATTGAGCTAACAAACAGACTCTCATTTTTGTTCAAAAATTGACAATATTTCTTATCTTTGAATTGTATAAAAAAGAGACAATTGTTATTTTGGCTATAGCAATTTATAAACATATATATGTTTGAATTTAATTTATTACTTCTTATCAATATTCTAGAAGAATATTGTATTATTGCTCTTAAAAAAGTATAAATTTAAAATCAATATTCAAATAATATTTGATTAATTTTAATTGTTATTATTCAAAAAAAATTATTTCATTGCTCCTAAAGAAGCACAAAAATTTAGACGTTAAGATATGTCGAAAGAATATTGTTTTATTATTTTGAAGAAAACAATTTAACACAAATCAATATTATAGAAAAATATTTTCATCCCGAGGAACGACTTTATGTAATTAATATTTTAAAAATACCGTGTCATTGCTGCTGAAGAGCATAACTTTATAAATTTCAATTCTTGAAGAATATTATTTGCTCTCGAAGTAGCACGAATCTCAAAAAATATTATATGATTTACAATCAAATTTAACTATGTCTATACTCTCAAAGAAGCATAACTAAGTATGGTATAACTAAATATCTTATTAATATTCTAAAAAATATGGTAGTATTCTTGAAGAAACACAACCTATGTATAGAAATATTGTAGAAGAATATTATGTTGATATTCTTGAATAAGCACAAATGGACAACCTGAATATCTCAATATTTAATTATGACAATTCTTGAAGAATGTCATTCGAAGATTTGTTTAGACATTTCAAGTGAATATTATAAAATTAAATGTTTACCCAGAAAGAAAAATATAATCAGATTAATATATCTGTTTTTATGGTTATATATCCTCCAAATTTGTAAGATATAATTTGTGATGTAAGAAAAAAGAATTAAAGAATGATATTTTAGACCAATCTATTCTTATTAGTCTGGAATAAATGTTCACATTGAACAAAAGATGTATGAACTATTATTGGTAGCAATTTGAATATTGCCCATATCTGGTAATTGGTTAATTGCGAGAACGATTCAATTGTGAATAGTTTAAGTGTTCAAATCTTGTGGGTCTAAACAAATCGAATCGTTATAATTTTGATCTATAAATATTTTGTCCATCATTGAATGTCTCAAAACCTAATAAAATTAAAGACCATGCTACACTGCCAGAAGGAT